TTAGCTTGTAGTGGAGGTCAGCAGCAGCCTCCTGATAGCTCCACCTTCATCCACCACGAGTTCCCTTTCGGTATCTCTTTGTAGAAATCCTTGTTTCTCTGTCTCTGTCATTTTCCAGCACCTCTGTGTGAATATTATTTATATCTCTGGTTGGTTTTGTCGTATCGTGTGTTCTCATTTCCTTCTGGTTAAATTCATCCTCTCTGCTTTTCTTCCTCTCGCTGAAATTTTCCACGTCTTTGTTTAATTCTGTTCTTCTCCTGCTTCAACATCTGAGATCAAATAGTTTCTTATTTAGATGTTTGAATCCCCTTTCAGCCTCCTCTTGCTTTTCCTCCACCCCTGTCTCTCCACACCATCCCACTCAGAGTTTTATAGGGCTAATGTAAATTATGCAGCTCCCACAAGACTCTGGGCCCATCCCAGTTCTGCTGCTTTACTGGGATCCACTCTACAGCGTTACATAAAACCCACAGCGTGCGATCGGCGCTATCTGGTTACCCCTTACTGCATCTGAGTCTCCTCGGGCCTCCTCGTGTTTCACCTGTTATCTGCTGTCGCATTCTCGCAGTGTTGTCTTCAGCTCGGCTGCCGTCGCTCGAGCCGTTTGGTCCAATCATTTCTAACTCGATTGTCCTTCTTCCGAGGCACCGGCCCATCTCCAGAGCCAGACCAGCCTCCTCCTCTTCCACTCACACTCTGTGATATGGAGCCAGTGTTTAGGCCGGTTGTGCTCCATCATTTACAGTCCATGCAGTATTCGTGTTCACCTGCCAAGCTGCGCTTCGGGCCACCTTACTGCCTCCAGGATCCTTTGCATGAATTATGGGCGTACCTTCTGGTTCACTGAAAGTGCAGGAGCTGAGCTTAATGCTTCATTAACTGGAACCGGAGAAACTATGAGTGATCTTTGCAGCTCTGCAGGTTGAATGTGAGCAGCCCTTTGCTAAAACCCGAGTATCACGAACTTGTTGTTTTCATTCGGACTGCAGAACGTTTCCCACACACAGAATTACAGGATAGTTTCTCTGAAGGAGACAAAACTGCTCTTAAAATCTGTGTTGAGAAGAACGATGAAGAATCTAACGCTGGTTACAGGTCTGTCTCTTCCAGAGAGATTCTGGTTTGCAGCCCTTTGAATGTGAGAAATGAACTGAGCGGTTCCAGACTCATTTGTATTTATGCATTGATCTGAAGATGTCAGGCTGACTGAGCCACTGTAGCAGTAATTTTAGCTCAGATAAAACTGTAAGATGTTCCAAGCACTTAGTGAGATTTTACTCTTTATTGTAGCTAAAAAGGAAATGTTATTTATCCAGGGTCAAATCACAACAACAGTC